GATAGATATACACCCCCACACGTCCGTATATTTATCCACATATCTCAAGAGAATAAATGATGACATGAAAGTTTGCACATACAGTGTTGGCATCCGCACACTTACATATTACACACAGGACTACACTGGTACAGAAATCGCAAAGGACAATCGACTGACACGCTATCCTCCCATTTCTCGATATTTAACTATCCACCTACTAGATAATTTAATGTACTTGACTAGTAATTTATCTTATTACGCATTAAATTATTTACCCTGAGCTGCTGTTATCATTACTCCCGTGTATTGTTTACTCTGGTGGTCGATAAACTGATCAATTAAACTATTAGCATAACTATTCCGTCATGTGGTCAAAATTAGTCTTGCGCTCAGCATTTAATTATCCGGGAAGAAATTTATATTGGAAACCTGTGCAAGCAAATTTTGGGAGACTTGTGTCTTGTGTTTTGTATCTATATCTAGGGCGGTTAGTCTACTGTTTTGTGTACGATAGTAACCTAGTTAAATTGTTATACACTTAGAGCCAATAGAGAAGCGCGCAAAGTATGCCAGACTCCTGAGGATCCTCTTGGTCCTGGTATGAATATTATTATTATTATATTATGTATAACATATTGTGTGTTACCTATTGTGATAGTGCTTCACAGGAAAATTAGAGGACTGCTAGAAATTTTTAAAGTTTTACTTTTATCTCTTATTTACAAAAAAATTATATTTCTTCACATCAGCAAATCAAAAGTTGTATTTTACTTTTGTTTTTTGCAAACAGAAAATTTATTGTCTATTTCTCAGAATTCTTGGCGATTGATAAAAGTTTCAGACTCTAAGACTAAAGTTTTAAAAATTTTATTTAAAGAACATCAGACACGCGTTGAGAAAATTTTTTTAGAAATAAATGACGACCCGCAGCAATTTTACAATGCTAATTTTATCGAAATATAATACGAAGATAATATGATAGATTTATTATACGTATGTTGATAGTAGGTCAGAGTACAGAGTTGAAATTTTCCAGGTAAAAGCCGCTGCATAGCAAGTACGCAGTAAAGCAAAGGTACGACGATGACGAACAAGATAAAGAATCTTAAGAGCTGAGGGTGTAGAACCTTTCAACTATGCCCCTTTGCTCTCAGCTTTATAAAAAACACTGCCAAGTTTATATTATGTTATGGACTTGAATAAAGCTGGAAAATGAAGATCGAGATGAACAATAGATAAATAGACAAACAGCCGTTCACTCTGAGAGTCAAGACTGTGACTTGTTTTATGTCTACTTAATTTCGATAAGTGCATTAATTCAATCGCCCGTCTCGATTATCGATTTCGATGCCATAAAAGTTTGAGTTGCTTTTATTCCGCGTTGAGTTGTTTGTGCGATAACATAAAGATAATTACATAATGTTACTTTTGATGTTATGTCGAGAGCGGGGAAATTGAGATGAAATCAGAGCCAAAATCAGAGTGAGATTCTTGCGGTCTATGGAAACATACTGGTGGAAATCAAAACAGACGGAATTCCATATGCCGGGAAATTCGAACCGATGTGGTGACATCCCAAGACCACCAAGCGGTCAATAAACTCTGAAACAATTGTCTTTGATTTCCTGAACATTGATGTTGTATTAATTGCCTGATAATTAATCTATCATACAACTTTTTATTTTAAAATCTTTGTTATATAATTTTTTTTTTTCATGGAAATTATTATCAGCGTATTCTACACTTGAAATAGAATATCATGATATTAAAAATATTTTACGGAAAAGAATACTGACATTTATAAAAAAAAATTAATTCTGTTCAAGATTTTTTTCTCTCGAATCAGGTTAATTTTTTTTTTTAAAGGATAATTGAGAATTATTGTATTGAAAAGATAACTTTCAATAACTAATACTCTGGGCAATTCATTTAAAAACTTTTATCTCATCTTCACTAATTAAAAGATCCATTAAAAAAGGTAAACAGTTAAAATTTCATCAATACCTCAGACATTTATTGCTGAGACTCTTGACGAAACAAATTAATTTAATTACTTCTCAAGATAATTACTCTATATAACTCGGTTTATTTAATGCATCAAACTTTAATAATTACAATATTAAATAATAATAATAATAATGAAGGCAACTTGGCTGACAATTTTTTATCAAACAACAAAAAATGATTGGTCGACATGAAGGACGGTAATGAGGATAATTGACTAGCGGATCGATACAAACAAAATGTATGACATGAAAATATTCATGAGGCGTGTGCTCGGATTTTGATGAACAAAAAATAGAATCTGTGTGGAGAAAGAGTCGGTCGTACTAAGTTGATTGGTGTTTGCCGAATGCCGATTTTAAAATCTAGTTTGTTTGCACTGGGTATTTATTCCTGGTACACCTGATGGCTGACGGTGCCCGATGCAGGAGTGGGATGGCCAGACCAAATTAACATTGGCGGTCCAGCCGAAATATTATCTCGGTCTAGACTGCCGGGTAATTAACAGGCACCCACTCGCAATATAGTCATTAATAATCGTTCTGATGCACGTGTCATTAATTAACTGACTTACTAATAGCCGAAGTAATATCCACCCGTGCCTCGAGCCGTACTCGCGAACATGCTGCGCTTTAAAACGATTTACATTAAAATAATTCCAGGATAATTAATAAGAGTCCAGCTCCGTTCTACGCTAAACTAAATCCTCTATGAAGTAATAATTACTGTAATTACATATGACCATTAATTCTATATAGTAATAACAATAGTCATGCAATTAATTCAATGGTAATGATAATTATTATGATAGTAATGGTGAAATGTGATCGTTAATATATATATATATATATATATATATAAAAAAAAATATTTGTTGGGATTGGAGGCTTGGCGTTAAAACTCGCGCTTATAATGTTTATTTAGTCCCGTAGCTTCCAATTATCAATAAATATTCATTATTCGTGTGTAAACGTCCTACCTATGCATGATATATGTATATCCATATATAATCGCAAGAGGATATGTAATATGGAGTATTTGGAGTATGTAGATATGCCAAATTTGGCATGTGTGATTCGGCGAAATTCAACCAACTAAAAACCCGACTGTGTAAACGCAATCAGCTTTTGATTACAATTTTAATATGCATGTCTGTAACGATTTTTAAGTTTATAAACTGTCCATTGATTTATTTTCAGTAATACTGTTTCAATTTTTGATTTTGCTGAAAGTTCTTATTCGTCTAGACTAAATAGTTAAAAATTAACTCAAGCTAAGATTATAGTTCAGTATATTTTACTATTTAATTTTGATGGAACTTGATGAATTTTTTGTACAATCATACATTTTGTAAATGAATATATAAACTTGAGCCTTATATTGTAAATGAATATATAAAATTTAACGATAAAAAATATCGTTAAATTTTTTTTTCATTTTATGACAGGTAAAATACGGATTAAAACGCGGTGTTAATAAAATCGTGAGTGAATATTTGTCAAATTCGTCGACTGGTTTGTTATTTCATTTCATTTTACTCCTATATTCATTATTATTATTTGTACAATAGTTTGCGGAGTTTACTTACAGTCCTGTTGACATTGTTGCGATTTTTTGAGCATTCCCGGATAAAAACACGAGATGATCTTGTTATTTCTGGCGTGATTCCAACAGCAAATATCTTCGCTCTTCCCCGAATCAATCCTAATATTTTTCCGGAAAATCGGACGCCAGTAATAGTAAAAAAAATTAATAAACAAACCAACACCTCATTTTATTCATAAAAAAAATTAACAATAAATTTTTCCAACCGTACAATAAAATAAATAGCAATTAAAGTTTTGTAATTTTCGACTCGACGGAGTGTAAATTCAATGCGTCCTTCAAACGCGCGCGTCGCGACAACACTGGGGTTGAAAAGCATCCCTACCCGGAATATTATTTTCTGTACAAGCCGGCACAGGAAGAACCCCACTGAAATTACCCTCTCTCTGTAATTTCCCCCTCCACGCTCTTCTATCCCGCTGTCCATTCTACATACGTGATGTTTAGTTACTGTACAATAGAATACACATGTCACTAAATCCTTCTAATTTATAAATAATGTTTATTCGAGATCTGAAAAAATTTTCTAAAAATCTAAACCCAAAATTTTATAACGATTTTTATTGTTTATTTTAATAAAAGAAACAGGTTACAAGTTGAAGTGCTTGTGCTACATATATACACTCGAGTAACATACACCGTGTACTTTGGCACAATTAATACTTACACTCATTTTATTTTCCAAGTAAACATAATTGCAAATCATAATTACATTAATAATTATTACATGTACATATTTAATATATTTATATATATGAATTAATATATTACACAGTTATAAAACAATTTTATTAGTTAGACTGCCTTGCTGTATGTCATTAAATGCACAAGTCTTCTTGATATGCTGAGCAATAATTAAGATTTATTTCCTTTCATCTATTTAAATTGTTATTTGCCGTTTATCAGAAGACATATCAATAATTATACGTAGAGTGGTAGTTGTGTAATTTTACACTTATGTTTTATTCAGTTATTATCACAGACTTCGCAGCACCTCCCAGCTAATGACATACACTCAATCAATACTTAATATTTTTGCTTAGGTAATTATAAGTATACACATCTCTATAAATTACTTCGTTAATTTGATTAGTTTATAAAAATTATTAAATTTAATTTTATTCTAATAATTTCATCAATTATTGTCAATTTTTTTTTCTTTTACAAAGAAATTGTGCGTAATTATTTTTTACACTGAGACAAATAAAAAATATTGTCCAAACAAGAATTTCTCGACTAAATAATTTTTTGATAAAAAATTTTTCTCAGTGTAATTTATAAAATATCTAATTAACTGGCAGTTTAATCATATATTGCATACAATACAAAAAATTGCTGAAGGTCAATCACATGGATTAGTTAAAGAAATTGATCCGTAGTTATTATTCTTAAAATTACGTTTTAGCTTACTATATACAGACAAGATTACCGCAGATTTCGTCGCATTTCGTTGACGAATCACTAGAGCCCTCTTGAATAGACCCGTAGGGTCTTTTCCGACAACAACACATCCGCTCCAACAAATCTTTCCAGTCAGGTCCTTCAGATTCCTGCCTAAAAGCACCGCTCGACGCCTCGTCGGTACAAACCGACACAAATGCCTGGAGATCATTTTTCGGGAACCCGTCACGATAGTACAGCTTTATCGTGTCGTAGGCGTCCATAATTATAGAAATAAAGAGACTCAGTACAACATAAATGAAAAGGGAAATGAAGGTGTACAAGTAGATCCTTGAGTACCACCAGAGGATCGGAGACTTGAATGAGGCAATTGAGAAGGTAGCGAACATATCGTCTCCGTTTATCAACGCGAACAGACACTCTGAAGTGGTCGCCAGTGACCTGAATTTGATGTGATACGGCCCGAGGATCAACCACCCGCAGAAGGTGAATCCTGCGTAGATTAAAACCGCGCAGATTGAAAATCTCACCACCTTTGGTGCCGATTTCTTCAGTGTGAGGATGACCACGTTGTAGGTCTTGAAGAATCCGAGGTAGCGCAAGACTCCGAACCAGACTAGCAAGTTTCCAGTCCCCAGAAAAATGCTACAAATGTTCCAGTGGTCGCTGCCGTAATATTTTCGCTCTATTTGCTCCTTTATCGCCGAGCCCATTATTATCAGCAGATCATTAATTATAATCATGATGTACCACATGTTCAAAAACTCGAGCCGACCCTCAAGACTCAAATTGGTGCCGTAAGTCTTCTTGAAGAAGCTTATCGTCTCGAATTTAAGTAACTGGGCGCGATAAATAGCACGTGAGCACAAAATGAGTGAGATTCCACAGATAAGGATAACGAAGAGATTAAGAATAGTTCTCAGCGCAGAGTCTAACTGGTTGTCTGTTATGTACTGGGTGTCGCCTTTGCAAAGCAGCCTGATCGATTCCACGTCCAAAGACAGCAGCATTTGTCCGTCAAAGTCGCTGTTATCGAAGATTATTTTTATGTTGAACTGATAGCAGTCTGGAGGAGTAATTGGGCTGGCTGCTTTCAGATTCACCGTCTTTACGGCGAATTTCAGGTGGGCCTTCACCAAGGCCGAGAAGTTTATTATCACGTCCTTTTCCTCCAGCAGCTTCTTTGAGTCTACCGAGTGAGTTTCGGGGAACGTGTGGTTTACGGTGAGACAGGTTCGGTCTATCTCGTTGTTGAAGACGAAGCTCTCGTTGAACCCGAAGATGATGCCTTCTTTGTACTGGTACAGGCATAGCACTGCTGGAACCAGCGAATTGTCCTCGGCAGTGTATGAGTATGATCCAATTGAGTTATTTAAATTGTAGTAACCATTCAGAGCGTAGTTTATTGTCTCGTAAAATTCTTTTTGTTTGTACAGAGACAGAGGACCAGTTACTGGCGGGTATTCAGGTACCTTTAGGAATTTGGTTGATTAATTTTTAAATATAAGATTTAATATTAAATTATTTAATAAAGTATTTAAATATTAATTTTTAGTTAATAAATATTTTTTCCAAGTCCTTAAAAAATTGTATTACCTCCTGAGTAGCATCCCACCCGCGAAGAAACAGGTGCGAAAAGGTGATTCGATTATCCCAGGTGTAATTAACATGAATATAATTATTGTGAGCAAACAAACATAGCTGTATAGTGACTAGAATAATTTTAATCACTTGGACGATGAATTTGTAGGGAAAACGCCTTCTAGCTTGCCATTTTTCAATGGGATTCATGAAAAAAAACCTCAATTTTCTGCGCATCTTATCTTCGGCGTAGGCTATGGCGTCATATCGTGGCTGATTACTCGGGTTACTCCTGCTAAACACAACAAACATCGTTACGTTCATGAAATGTGATAAGTAGTATAACAAACGATAAGAAAATAATCGAGATAATGGTTTGTATTTTTCTACATTTGTGTAACTCATTGTTTGGTATTTTTTTAAGTGAATTAATTGGAATCACTGACCTGGCGGTGTTGTCGTTGCTAAGAGGAAAGTCTTCATCCCCGCTCTCAGAGTTTCTCGCCCAGAGTTGGGTTCTCAGAGAATTGCTACCACGTGTGTTGTCCTCCAAAATTACACTCTCGCTTTTGTTAACTTTACTCTCGGCCATTTTTAATTTTTCTTCTAGTTTTATCGAGACTGAGGCTGGCGATGGCTCAATAGCTCTAGGGCTTGAGTTTAACACCTCCAACTCAATTGTCGATTTATCCAGTGGGTTCAAAATTTGATTCCCACAGTACTGATGCGTTACATCCGTGCGTCTGCAATAATTATTTATTAATAACTAAAATTAATATAGTTTGTTATAATTATAATTGTAATAAGATTAAAAATTATAAATAAGCTAAATCACTGGTCAGTGTCGAGACTGGCAGAATGGAGCAAGAACAAAGAACCTTTGCTCAACTGGTAAAGATTTTGAGGTCACGGTGATTGGAATTGGATGAAAAAATAAGCAACCTTGATTTAGCTTCATTAAAAAAAATAAATAGCGTGTACTTGAAAGTTATTGGACTGATTTATCAAAGTGGTAATTGAGCGTATACGTACAGATATAGTTTCAAAGAACAGCTGGTTTTTTGATGTTGATAAATTGTTACGCGCAGTGGCCATCGGACCTAAACAGACTGACTCAATCCTCATCTACCGTCCACAACTCACAGCTGGGATGATTACATCGAATTGTATTCACTCAATCCTGCTCTGAAAAATTACGACTAACGCTCTTTGTTTGTGTGTTTTCAAATCGACTGGTCGATGATAAATTATCTCCTACGATGACCGGAGAAGACCTAGGTCTCTACTTTTGCGACACTCTTTCACAAGGTAAGACAGAAAATTGCTTCTGGAATTTAAAAGTTTGAATTGATTTGACAAAATAAATTGTAAGGAAAAGGATTTTATGGCTTTGATCTTTGATAAAAATTTAATATTCTAATTGAATTAAAAAAATGACTTAATTAAATAACCAATCAGTAATTTTTATATTTAACTGACGACAATTTTAACATTTTATCATAAAATGAACAAGTTGCTACAAGCTGATGATACTCTTGAGAAGAACAATTTTCAGCTTCTTCAACTGATAAAGCACACCAGTCGCAGCCGTAAGCGATACTTTGATGTTCCAAGTACTCAGCAATCACCTGAGGATCATCTTTATTTTGGCAATCTACGATTCTAAACCCACCGTACATACAAGCGGCCAGCAAATATCTGGCTTCTAACGGATCCCATTTCAATCTCCAGATTCCGCCTCCTAGTTTAGTTTCCGATACCGGTCTCCGAAAGTTTCTAGTATCCCAAAGCCTCAACGTTTCATCGTAACTAAAAATAAAAATTCAAAAGTTAGTCTCTTCTATATTTATGAATATAAAAAAAATATTTCACCTTCCAGAAGCCAGGGAGAATTCTTTTCTTGGATTAGAATGCAAGCTTGTGACACCTGCTTCGTGGCTCCTGTTGGTTCCAATCACTTGCAGTCCTTTTCTGGCATCAAATCTTTTGAACTGACAGTCATCGCCTCCTGTTAAATTTTTATATTATAATTTTTAGTGGCAAATTTTCAGTCAAAAATTGAAAAATAATTACCGGAATAAACAACATCAGTGTTCCAATAATCAAACGCGGTGATCCAAGCTTCAAATTCATGAGCATCTTGGCTCGAGAGACACTCAAGCTTTCCTAGACTGACTCCAAAAAGTGAGACACGTCCTTTTGAGTCACTGACAGCTATTTTTACATCCGTAGCATCATTCTGGACTCCACCAGTGCTCCAATCTAAGCTCAATGCGAGGCCATCTTCACAAACCCGAGCCTCTGTTAGTAATTCAATCTCCAATTCGTCTACCTTAAGCTTAAATACCTGCAAAAATCCAATTGAGTTTACTACTCCCAGTAAAATATCTCCTTGACACTTTTTGTGAGCCCACTTCATATCCAAGACTGCTGGAACGTTCAATTTTTGGAGCAGCTTCAATTGTTCCGACTCTACTTTAAACAGAAAAATTATCCCCAGTCGTTTCTGGCCAGATTTAGTCCCCGTGCCTTCTTCGTCGGGGAACAATTGATAAGTCCCACAGACAAACAAGTCCTGGAAGCCTTCTATGGGACACCATTCAACAGAATCAGCTGAAAACTCCGTGTCAAACGTCTCCAGTGTCTTGAACATTTTTCTGTAACATAAAATCCGTTTTATTTTCTATAAATTATTCTTAAACTAATTTTGAGGAAATAAATTTTATAAATAATGAAACTTTACAATTACTAGACTTATATTTATTTAAAAATGAGCAACTTGGTACACGTGATATACAATTTTTGGTCAATGGAACACGAAGACGGTTCCACGATAATTGATTCCCGGAATTTGATACCATGACATTTGATCTCGTCGATGGGATCATTTGTCGTGGTATTAATATATTGGGATCATTTAACGTGACGCCGTTAAGACCCGTTACAATTAGTCTGTGATTAAACCTAGTGATACCTTAAAAGTCTATCAATTAAGTCAATAATTTTATCAATATAATTAAATAATAATCAATGGTCTTAAAAAATATCAGTAAAAATACTGCTATGAGGCTTAAGTAATCCTGAGTTTGGTTCTTAATTAATTATAAACCATCTTCATACTCAACTTGTCTTTCATCACTCGTATTATTATTGCTGTAAAAATATTGACAATTTTCTATTGTACATTATTTATTTATTAGTCAAAGATAAAGACACTAGCGAACTTTAATTACTCAGATAAATATTCTACAACAGACTTAGCGGTGATAAGTATTTTAAAAATAATTCTGTACTATTTAATTACACTACTAATGCCTTTATCTCAATTATTAGACCCTGCATTTGAAAATATCTATTTTATTTAACGTCTATCAACAGTTTTTATTTTCTTACGGAATTATTAATAATTAATAATAACATTTGTACTATTCGATGTAGTAAAATGATAACTTGTTTGGATTTAAGGCATTTTCTTTCTTAGTATACTGAATAAGTTACTTACTCTACTCAATAAAATTATTTTCAATGACAAAAAAAAATTAAACGTACATTTGGCAAATTGATCTCAGCCGGATATAAAACGAGATCGAATTATATTCTAATAAATAATTTAATTAATTAATCACTAGAATAATCAGATCTTGTCGGAAATTTATAAAGCAAGATAAGAAGACCTCCAAAAAATTTCAGAATTTAAATAAAAAATTGAATAATTAGAATTTACTTTGCATTATCGTCAGTATGATAAAGTTATTTCAAAAAGACATAAAAAAAATCTTGAACAAATTATTAAGAGCTTTGGCACCTGGTGCTCCGAACAAAATAAAGAACTAAAAATTAATGGCAGCAATTAAGCAATTATTGGCGAGCACTTCGTTCAGTCTCATGAAGACAGTCTCTGACTAGCAAGCGGGCGTGAACGAGACCGCGCTTAATGCGTTCAGCGGAACTTCTGCTTCCTGCGTAGGTCGGACGAATGTCTCTCCCCAGCTCCTCGATCACGTTCAGCAGCTGGACGTACTTTGACTGTCCGGGTATCGCGGTGACCGTCACGTGAGGCACTGTCGATTGAATGTTCCTGGGGTTTGGTACTGTTATCGGCGACTCGATGATCTTCGTTATCGTCGTTCCAGCTGGCAGTTTAGTTAATTCTCCTTCCATGTTCATTTTTTTATTTTACTCACTTATTACTCCCTGACAAACAATAATATTCTGTTGTTTTTCAAGTTTGTTTACGTGTCTAGAAATTTTTGTCGAAAATTTTTATTCTTGTAAATAATTATAAAAAATAATTACCTGAATTTGATTATGATGCAAATTTTATTTTTTTTTTTTTTTTTTATAAACAGGTGTTTATAAAATTTGTAAATAATTTTTTCAATCACTTATGTCGAGCTGGAGTTGATTTTTAGGTTACGAGAAAGCTTTATGTATATATAGTTTCCATATTTCTCGTATTTTTATTTTTCTCCTCAGATGGCAGGTTTTAAAAACAACAAAATTCCCGCGATTTTTTAAATTAATTTGTAATTAAGGGTAATTTTATTTTAATAATAACAAAAAATTTTTATTATAAAATTGGTTGTTTATTCAGCAATATTATCTATTTGAAAGGCTCATACTTATTTCAAAATCCTGCTTGAGAAATTTTATGGAATTGTAATAATAATTATTTATAAAGAATATTTGTTAAGATAAAAAGGATGTAAAGTGCTTAGAGTACTTATAAATAATAAAAATCCACCAGGTATTCATAAGAATGTAAAGTAAAAAAAATAGAGTCATTATTATAGGTTTACAATATATAATAATATATAATAACTTATAACTAACAATGACAATAATAAAATGCTTACTCGAGATTCACTCTCATCTCTTGAGCAGACCAATAATAAGTAATTGAAAATAAAAACAGAACCTTGGCCTTTAATTTAAAAATTTACCCCAATTTTATACATTTGATTTTAAAAGATCGCCTTTTTTAATTATTAAAAAAGAATGAGACATCACAAATTTTATTAACCCTAATAAATTTATAAAAAATCAAATTTTTGATTCTCCTAAGCGTATCCAAGCTCAAAATTATTGCAGATAAATTATCAGATACATAATAATAAAACGGACTTTTGTGGTAAATATTTTGCACTTTATCGTATTTTTTCTCTCACTAATTAAATTAGTAACCAGCTCATTCCATTTATTAAATATAAATAATTATTCACTTTATTTTTACTTTAAAAATACTACCATGCTCATGTTACATCAGAGCTCTGGTATCCTACAAAAAGTCTCACTAATATAACTTCAATCGCAGAAAAAAAATCACAATAATTATTTTTTTAAAAAATAACATTAATTTTGACTTTCAAATATCACCGACAAAAATTTTATTTTACTTGGCCTCAAAAAAACCCATTTTATGAGAAATTTATCAACCAAAATATCACCAAATCAATAATTATAATAACAACCTACTAAAAAATGAGACTCTTTGTACCGAGGATGGAAAAATAAAGTATACTATCCATCTATATCTAAAAAACCTCAACCATAACTTCATCATTGCCTGGCATTGTGCTCGGTCTCCAGCAAACACTCTCTGACGAGGATCCTCGCGTGTTGGATGCCCATTTTGAGCCTCTCTGCGGCGCTGCGACTCCCGGCGTACGACAGGCGAATATCTCGACCGAGTTCCTCAATGATCACCAACAATTGCGCGTACTTTCCTTGTCCAGGTACTGAGGGAAAATTAATAGTACTCGACGGACTCGCCTGTACATTTTGAACCTGCGCCGACTGGACATTCTGGAGGTTCCTGGGGTTCGGGACAGTGATCACCGGTTCCGGGATCCTGGAGATTTCCTGCTTCTGCGGAGGAGGTGGTGGTTGTTGGGGCTGGTGGTGCTGCTGATGATGCTGCTGGTGTTGTTGTTGTTGCTGATGCTGTTGGTGGGATTGATGGTGGTGTTGCTGCTGATGGTGCTGCTGATGATGGGACTGCTGATGAGACGGTGGGTCGTTGAGCTTGGTGATGGTGATCTCATTGAGCTTGGCCAGTTCAGTAAGCTTGGCCATCTCGGCCATCTTCGAGTACTCAGGCATCTTGGTGATATCGTTCTGCATGTTGGCCATCTTGATCATTTCATTCATCTTGGACTTTTCGCTCATCTTAACAAACTCCTTGGCCATCTCGTTGATCTGGGCGATCTCATTGTACTTGGTCATGTCATTGTACTTGGCCATCTCGGTCATCTTCACCATCTCATTGAGCTTGGCAATTTCATTCATCCGCTGGACCTCGTTTATCTTGGCCATCTGTGAGATTTTCATCATCTCGTTCATCTTCGCGATTTCGTTCATCTTGGAAATATCATTGGAATACTTGGCCATCTCGGAGTACTTGACCATCTCGTTCATTTTGGCCAACTCTGACATCTTGGCAATCTCCTGCATTTTCATATACTCGGTAGTTTTCGCGTACTCGGCCATTTTCTCCATCTCGTATCTCTTGGCCATATCCTGGGACATTTTGTTAAGCTCGGTCATCTTGCTGAACTCGGCCAGCTGAGCCATCTGGACAATGTGTTCAGGCACTTTTCCCCTTTCCATCATCTGCTTTAGCTCTGCGGATATTTTGTTCATGTTCATCTCTGACATCTGGGCGATTGTCGCTGCGTCTGGCATCTTAGAGAGCTCAGCAATCTTTGAAATTTCCCTCGCGAGGTTCTCGTCGAGGCAGCGCTTCTTTTTAGCGCGATGCCTGGCCATTCTTTGGGCCTCCTGCATCCTTCTGAGAGCCGCCTGGTCCTCGGACTCCTTGGCCCTGACGTTCTTCATCCTCTCAGCCGCCGTGTACAGTCTGATAGCACGTTCCTCAGCCGTCTCTGACATCAGTCCCCCGTTTTCAAACTCGTACATTTAGCCCCACTCAACTAAACTACTATCAACCGGTTATTTATTATTTAAATATTATTATACCTTGTTAATGTTTTTAATTCAATACCTTTTTCATCCATCGGTACTAATAAAATGATTGTTTTTTTTTTTTTTTTTTTTTTGTTTTTTTTTTTTTTTTTTAAAAAATAAAAATAAAAATATCAGTGAACTCCAATTTAAATTCCAATATCAGTATCAGTAATATAAATCCATTTTGGATTTAAGGTTGATGCTGAGGCTGGATGCTCCAATGTATCAGTGCTCCAAAGTGGTGTTATCACTGCAAATGAAAGGTTAACTCATTAATAACCCATAACATAAATACCCACAATAAAATCAATAAATAACAATATAATTTACCAATACAAAAGACAAACAGCAACGAAATGACCCGAGTGATAACAAAGTTTAAAGTCACATTATCAGAAAATAATAAATAATTAAAATAATTATCACAACCAATCAGACAGGTGCACGTAAAAACTCGAGTAAAAAACAGTGGATAATATATTAGCGAGAACAAAATTCGGTAGCAAATTAAATACTGGAGTCTCCTCGATCAACAAGTAATAACCAACAAATAATCCACTAAATAATTGAATTAACTGATAACAGCTAGTAAATAAAGTACCGTTGTTGTAATAATGTGTGTTACCGTCAGATTCTTTTGTTTTTGAAAATTTTAAACGAAGAAACGAGTCGTGGCATTCGTTACGCATGCGTAATATAAATAAGAATGCTTAACGAGCACGAAAAACGTACATTTACATCCAATCCAACCTCCGATACGTCGTCTTGCTCTTCCTTCGGCACAACAGCCAGCACACCACCGTCACCGTCACACACACACTGCCAATTCATCGCATGTATATCGTACTATACAGTATACAGTGCCCCTTTCCTCCACTTGCTCCTATTTCGTATTTCGTATTTCGTATTGCCGAACTCCAAGCTTAAGGTTTCACCAATCACAACAATGGCGGCTGCTATTTGGTCAAATTCACCAACCAATATAATAATAATAATAATAATAATAATTATTACTTTATTTAAATAATAAACAACAACTCACATTTGTACTTTAAATGTTACAAGTATGATTTTGCAATAGAAAGCAAGAAAAATCTCAGGACAAATCACATCCTGGCTTCATAATTGACTAATTATAAATAAATAATTAACAAGGTAATTTTAGAATTGATCTATATTATTATTGTTGAGCATTGAATATTGATTATAGGTGAAATTTTAGAAAATAAATAGAAAGAAAAGTATGAGAGTATCGGAGCAGAGAAGTAGCAGTACAGTATCAGAAGCAGAATCAGTAGCAGTTGGACGGACGGACATGTAAGATTTGGTAGTTGGTAGGAAGAGTGTAAGAGTTGAGTTTAGTTGGGTAGCAGGCAAGCTGAGCTACTTTAACTTAAAGGGGCCAAGTGAAGCCTGAAGCGGGAAGCGGGGTCTGGGGGTCGCCCGACCGATAGACTACTGCGTGTGACGTGGTCGCGTTTATTGACCATAACCCCTTCCTCCTTTTGCCACCCCCGATGTTGTACTCTCTGTCTCAAAGGCACTCTCTCTTCTTCCTGTGCAGAGTCTCAAGCAGCAACCAGCCTCGAGCCTCCAGTCTCTCACCATTATATACAAACTTGCTCTGTATTCCACCGAGCAGTCCGCTTGGTTTACTTGTAGAATGCTAAAGACTGAGCCAGAGAAGAAGAGGAAGAAGAAGAAAAAGTTAATAAAGAAGGAAGAGCCATACTACTATACGCCAGTACTATACAGTGGATATCACTGGAACTCGGTAGGAACAGAGAAATAAGAATGAGAAAAAGCTGGTGAGGAGACCCACAGACGCTCCACTGCTTTCGTTTGTAATATGTATTTTTATATACATATCACGGTACAGTACTTGTACTGGTTTGCTAGCTTGAAGTATCGAATCAAAGACAAGGAGGGAAGAGGAAAAGAGCATAGCAAGTTTAGGCTTGGGCGAGGTATTTTATATTATATTGAGAATTGAGATGTGTGTATTCTATACAGCTAAGCTTGGCTATAGAACCACCAACTTCAAGGCGGACAGGTGTAGACGGAATTTATATTGTCCATTTATTCATTTTTTTCTCACTCTTTTTTTGTTTTTTACAAACCTGATTCGTTCTATTGCCGATCAGCAGAAATATCATGACATATTATTATGAAAATGGAGTTAGTTGACATTTTTTTTTAATTTTTTATTGAAATTTTAAGAAATTTCAATTAAACAATTAAAAAAAAAAAAATTCACATGTAAAAAACTTGAAAAACTACAAGTGCAATTTTTTCGAAATATTTTTTTAGTTGTAATTTAATTTAAAAAAAAAAAAAAAAAAAAAAATTCATAAATTTTTAGACGTCTGCTAACTTCATATTACTTGGTTTAATATAAATATTCAGTGAAATTTAAACGAGTAGAGATTTAAATATGTTCCAAGGTCTCTGATAAAAAGAAACGGTAACATTAGAAAATTTTTATTGTCTATAAGTCACAGGCCAGTAGAACATTCAATATATTAATAGCCTTACAAACTTACATTTAAAGTTAGTCAATGATAAAAATACAATGATAATAATTAATAAGTGATAACAAAAATAATTATATTTATTTATTTTATTGTCGCAAGTTTATCTCAGTTTCCAGCAGACAATCTCTGACTAGCATCCGCGCCTGTATGATTCCCATTTTCAGTCTCTCCGCCGACGTCCTACTACCAGCGTAGGTCAGTCTGATGTCTCTGCCGAGTTCCTCTATCACTTCTAATAATTGGGAGTACTTGCCCTGGGCACTTGGTACCAAACTCGGAGCTTCTCTCTGGCTCAGCTCGGGTTTTATCATCAACGAGCTTCCTTTGCTCTTTCCTCCGCTAATACTTTTATTATTATTATTATTATTGCTATTATGATTACTATTACAGTGATTTTTATTTTTATTGTTATTATTATTATTATTATTATTATTATTATTATTAATATAACTGCTAGGTTTGATTTGAAAAACAACATTGCGTCGTTTCAATTCGGTGATCATGGCGAGTTCGGTTAATTTAGCGGCCTCGAGCGCCTTCGCCTCCTCCATGGCCTTTTTTTTCTTAGCCCGAAAACGCGCCATCCTTTGTGCGTCGTGGAATCTCCTCAAGATAGCCTCTTCTTCGGTTTCATGTGGCCTTGGTATCGGCTTTCTCGAATTTCTTTTTTTCTCCCCATTATTGTTGTTATTTACAGTGACGTTTGTGCTCGAATTCCCGCTCAAAGTTCTGGCTCGTCTAGAAGACGAGGATGACGAGGAGGACGACGGAGATAGGAGTAATTTCGACGACATGTCTTCGGCATTCCACTGACCATTCATTGTTTTTTCACTTTAAAATAAATTTTTTTATTTATTATCAATCACTTTTTTTTAATAGAAATTTTTTTTACAATTTTTAAATGTCAAAAATGAAGAAAAAATGTTTTACATTTATTGTTTATGCAATTTTAATTACTTTATTCGGTAAATAAAGTTGAAATTCTCCCGCCGTTTGCCAGCCGGCTCGGGATTGGTCGGCCAAAACATCCAAAAAAAGATATCGAAAGGCGAATGGCGTCGAACAATTATCGACAATGCGTAGAAATTGCGAATCACGTGTGACTATAAAGACGATTTACTTTGACGAAAGTCGAGATTACTCAGTTCTCACATTACACCATTTATTTATATAATATAATATAATATAATGAAATATACTGTAAGATTATTATTTATCGAGTAAATAAAATCGAGTTAATCGGAGCAACTGTTTATTGATACTAGTTGATCAGAAAATTCTGTTGATATTTAGAAATAAATAGCGAGAGTTAATAATTGTTGGACCACACGTAAGAACTTTTTACCGTACCACTCTTAACTTTTCAACTGTGGTACAGTTTCGCAAAAAAATTCTAAGGATCTGGTTTATTGGATTGGAGATTAGAAAGAGATAGCTGTTCTAGTTGTATGTCGTTGGCTCTTTGTACGCATGTAGACATGTGTGAGTCTTCAAGGTGATTCACTACCAAAAATAGTAAGCAAGCCAATTATTTATCAATAATTATTATTAACACTACCATTAATATTGTATTTATATTTTTATCTTCAATAATTATTTTTATTTTTATAGGTATGGATAATTATTGATGATAAGTAATTAAAGATGTTCATTTCAAACTACGAATATTATTTTCTCCTGCTGATTGTTATTATTCCAGTCTACTTATTTTTCCGTCTCTGGTCCTGGATCGGATGGGAATTGTTTGTTAATAATTAGTTTATTAAAATGTATAAATTTATTTACTGAACAATCATTTAAATATTAATTTACGTATATACATTTTTTTTCATCGATATAAATTTTATAAATAATTATTTATAAACTTAAACTAAATATAACAATTTTCTAGATATAAAATTCAAGCTAGTAAACTTATTGTCATATTTTATCGGTGATTCGGAGCTCGTCAAGACCCATTCGGCCTTGGTGCCTCCAAATCCGGTATCTGGCGACGTCTTTTCGGGTGATCATCCCAATTACCTCGTGCTCGTCGTTCACCACGGGCAAGTGTCTTAGTCCCAGTCCACGGAATAGTCTAAATGCTCTTGGAAGAGTTGTCGACTGAAATTAAATTCATTTTATTTTATTAAAAACTATTGCTTCATAATTCATAATATTTTATAATGATAATTGTTGAAGACTCACGTGTTGAAGAGTGTAAGGCGAGGGGTTCATAAAAGGTCTTAAATCTATTGAGTATGTCTTTTCTTCCTCTGTGATGTTTACTTCTTCAATGCTCGGGTATCTTGGATATGCATCGCGGAATATTTTTAATGAAAAATCCGTCTCCCAAAACTCGCAGTACTCGTTGAATACTTTGTTCTGAATTAAAACTATCAATTGTGACCGAAGAATTAGACCACGGAATCTTCCGTAGCAATTTACTTCATTCTACAAGAAATATTTTTAATTATTAATTTAAATTTAAATAACTAGCAACTTTGCAGTCACTTGTGAACTATAAATATATAAAAAACGTTTTTAAAAATATAAGCTCATCCTGATGTTACACTGATCAAAAGCTTTCATTTGAGTACTCACATCAATTTTTCATATATTTTATATATTTATATATATTATATATACGTATATATGAAAAATATATCAAAAATGCATGTGGGTACTCAAATGAAAGGTCTCAATGAGTGTAACATCAGGATGAGCTTATATCTTTGATAAAAAACGTTTTTAAAAATATAAGCTCATCCTGATGTTACACTGATCAAAAGCTTTCATTTGAGTACTCACTATCAATTTTTCATATATTTTATATATTTATATATATTATATATACGTATATATGAAAAATATATCAAAAATGCATGTGGGTACTCAAATGAAAGGTCTCAATGAGTGTAACATCAGGATGAGCTTATATCTTTGAAAATGTCAATAGTTTACAAGATACAATATCTTTCCTTAACTATTAATATTTTTAAGGATATAAGCTCATCCCGATGTTATACTCATCAAGGGCTTTCATTTGAGTACCCACATGAATTTTTGATATATTTTTCATATATACATATATATATAATATATAAAATATATGAAAAATTGATGTGGGTACTCAAATGAAATGTCTTGATGAGTGTAACATCGGGATGAGCTTACATCTTCAAAAATCTCAATATTTCACAAGATACAAGGTCGTTTCTTAATTATGTACCTAGAGATAGAGCATTTTTGTTAATTATATTACAAAATTATTATTATATTAGACTATCAAATTACCTGATCACCGGTGGGAGGATCTACAACAGGAAATCCATTGAATTTAACGCATTTTAACAAAGCAACAATATGCCCAACATTTTCAGTTGTTTTTAAAGTAACAACAGGGTGACTCATTATCTCGCTGACGTAAATGTTGTTAGATAAAGCCGGTGCTTCCCACGGAAGTAATGGCACACCAGCCATTTGTGTGTGTATGTCGTATATGCCCTGATAAAAAATTATCGCCAGTTATAGAAGTAAATACTTGTATTATATTATATTATATTACCACATTAGCAATAATTATATAACTTCATACCTCTGTAAAGAAGTCTCCAACCCACTTGGCCATCATTAATACAATAATAACTGGGAGACCAAACGAAATTCCCTGAGTAGCTTCTATTAAAATTGCAGTTAGACTTATTGTCATCCTGACAACGCCTCCCAGCTGACTAGCAGCTCCAAGTAGCGCGTATTTTCCAGGCTCAAATAATCCCTAAAATTTACATTAATAATTTAAAGTATTCAAATTTTATTAAAAAAAGAGTAAATCTTTTTAAAGAGTTTTACAGAGGCAGGGAATAGTTTAGTAAGTCCAGATCCCATTAATCTGCCCCAAGCGGATCCAATTAGCAGGTGAGGTATGAACAGACCAGCAGACATTGAAAGGCCAAAGGTTAGAACAGCTAAAATAAAGTAGAGGAACACAAACATAGCGAGAGTTTCGTCATTGTGCGAGCCTAGGAGAAGATTATTTATTTAGTTATTTAAAAATAGAAATAAATTTAATTTAATATCATAAAAAATAATGATAAATACCTATGGGATCATGAAACAGAGACCGTACAGTGCTTTCAGGAGTTTGAAACCAAAGAGCAGCAACAGCACTGTACTCTCCTTCCTTGCAGTACATCTGGACTGGGTACTTAGTTGGGTCTTTCCCTAAAGGCTTGCAGTCATTTAGAAAATAAATCATCAGCGAGCCGACCGTAGCAGCTAGAACAGAAACTGAAATGGCTTCCACAACCTTTAGCCATCTCCTGCGAATGTACTTCTGCCTCAACACAGTTATTTTGTAGTTAATATAATTCCAAAATGCGCCATTAAGCCCTCCGAAGACTCCGACGATCATAAATAATGGAATTTCATAAACTTGGTAGGTTATAGTTTCAAATTTTCCTAAATTGAGCAGTCCTGGGTACGAGAGTTCTCCAGGATGACCGTGATAAGCGCTGAGGATGATATTTAAAGTAAAAGTAGATATCATGCTGGCGAAAAAGGTTCGCCATGTTAGACTTTGGTTGAAGAAACTAGTTCCTTCTTCAATACTGAACAAAACTCCACCTGAAAATTAAGAATTATCAATTTCAAGCTTTGATAATTTATGATTAATTAATTAATTACCAATGGGAGCTCCAAAAGCTGCAGAAACTCCAGCTGCAGCTCCGCCAGCTACAAAATCTCTCTTCTCATGATCTTCCCGAAAGTACTGGAAGACTTTAAAGTCCTTTCTAAAGGTCGTGCTCTTGCCTTGGGAAATTCCAGCGGCTACAACTGCTCCCGAGTGGATCATTGGACCCTCCTTTCCACCAGCAAGCCCTCCAACCACGGTACTGATCACTCCGAGGGATTTTACAGCCAGCGTTTTTATCCTGACAACTCTGGGGACTTTGACGCCGTTTAGGTAGCATTTTACCTGCGGAATTCCGCTGCCAGCTGCTACTGGTTCAACGTAAGTCACCAGGAGGGAGCCAATTAAAACTATCACAGTGTTTATCACCAACCAGATGAGGTATGGCATCCATAGGCAGTTTTGCGATATACAACTATCAACATCTGAGTTTTTATCAAGTTAAAGAAAATTTTTTATCAACAATAAAGACTTTTGACAATTTAAAAAATTTTAAAAATAATAAATTTGTAATAAAAAAATTAAAATATTGTTTTATGATAAATTGATTAGTTATAAAAATCCCAAAAATTATCAGTCCGCTGATTTTATCATCAATCATCACATTAGTGAGATATTATTCGTTTTATCAAAGGATACAGTTTTTCAAGACTCCATACTTTAAATTCGATAATTCTTCAATAGAAATATCGACAAAGCAAGCTATGGAAGCTGTCAGAATTCCAATCAGCAAAAATATAAACCACCTTGCAAAATTTTTCTTTACTACAAACTTGTAGCCTTTTTTTCTTTCTTCATCTTGCAGCAAACTATTTTCACACGTGTCGTAATCTAAGCTCTAAAAATAAATATTTATTATTTATTTTTTGTCATCACTTAATCAATTAAAAAAAAATTTATAGCGCCAGCAGATAATTTTATCAGCGATAAGATTGAGGAAAAAAGTAAACCTCGTAATTCGCAGATAAGAAATTGGTCGCTCCTGGTTCGAATTCCGCATTGTTCAGTCGATTGAATTGACGGGTTGACACATTTTCAATTAAATTGTCAAACACAGTGTCATTTCTGCTGGAGCTGATGCCCTGGAAGAGAAAGAATTACTTGTGTAAATTATAATTTATAATATAGATTAAATTTCACCATCCAGCATCAACAATAACAATGACAATAAAACTTAACCTTACCCTGAATCTGACGTCAACACTTTCGTTTGAATAAGACGGAAAATTATTCCTGGGTCTTGATTTAACAAGTCTTTCATCTTCGGTGCTGTTGTCACGTCCTTGATTATTTTCTTCAACATCTGAGACGTTGGAAACAGTCACACTGCCTTCGGGACTGGCCATATTTGTGCTTTGTGTCTCATAATATTTACTGTCAAGCTAACTAATCAATTAACTCTTTATTCTTCTCAAACTGTCAAACGTAAACTGGAGTAAATTGCAATGTTTACACTGTGGTCCATCATGCAGGCAAAAGTGACACTAGAGTTGTATTGACACTTGTTGAAAGTTTAGTTTTAATTTAAAGCTGTTATGTTGTGCAGTTGTGTATGCTGGGTCACAATAGAAACAGAAACTGTAGATGAAAAGGAATGACTAAGTATCAACTATTTCTATTAAATATGACTATGACTAGTCAACTTACTGTTAGCTTGCTTCCACTTAGACCACTTAGTTACTTTTGGCCTCTACTGACGGTGTGGAGGATGTCGACTGCATTGTAGAACGTACTTAGATAATTGTCGGCGGCGATACGATGCAAACAGATACGAAACGAGTGCGCGCTGCGCATGAGGAAGAAAATCAAGTCCAAACATCAACGATAACTACGTGACGATGTTGTTATGAGTAAATACGATTCAATGATTCATCTTTTCTCGGATCGGGGAATTCAAACAATCGCTTCGATACACATTCGAGAAAAATTTACTCATGTAAAAGTATGAATAATTAGAGCAATGATAATACTTTGATGACTGATTTGTAATTTTATTTTTATTTAAATAGAAATTTGAGTTTTTATTTTTTTAATTATGAATTTTTTTTAAACCAAAAATAATATGAAAATGAAGTTAGCTGACATTTCAAAATTTTTAGAAATTTTTTTATTGAAAAAATATCAATTAAACAATTAAAAAAAAATTTCACATGTAAAAAACTTGAAAAACTATAAGTGCAATTTTTTAGAAATATCTTTTTACTTGTAATTTAATTAATTAAAAAAAACCAAAAATTTTTAGACGTCTGCTAACTTCAGTGTCATAAAATAATTGTAATTAAATTAAAAGACATTTGATCATTTTTAAATAAATAAACAAAATAATTATTAAAAAAAAAATTCTGTATGAAAAAATTATTAATAAAATTGTTTTAAAAATAATTTCATTAATTTGTTTTTTTTTTTTTTTAATAAAATTATAAATTAAAGAAACTAATCAACTGCTTGGCCTAAAAACTTTGTAGAGGATGCAAAAACAATAAAATTATAAAAACAGAAAAATTTATGATAGTTACAAAGACAACAATATATTTATAAATATCAATAATACATGAGCAGTACAGACTTTTGAATTATTATCAAACACGTGAGAATTATTAACAATAAAAATTTAAATTTAAATAGAAATATACAAACATCTGTATAAAACTCAATTTCTGATCCTAAAAACCCCCGCGGTCTTTATTAAACTCTCTGACCTCCAGAAACAAAGTAAAAAGCGTATGCAGAGACTCCAGTCTGATCTCAGGCTTGACAGGAATGTCGAGTAAATTACAAACGATGTCAACAAGCTGGGGTAACTCGCAGTCGAGGGTGGAAAAGTCGAGCTGAGCCTCGCTGAGTTTGTCCTCGATATCCGGAGGCCACTGCTGAATCAGGGCGTCAATGTCAGGCATCGGGCTGGTCAGTCTCACTGCAGGCAAGTGTTTGCTCCTGTGAAGGAGACCCATGTCCTCGATCCACCTCTCAATCGACTTAGGATACTTTTCCGGGTCTTCAACGCGTTTTATCACCGTTGCTTTTCGGGAATCCGCGCTCTTGCTCTGGCTCCGCAGCTGCAAATGCAGGACTGCTGGCTCCGATTGATTAGCGCATGGCTCATCCAGCACCGTTAATCCGACCTTATCAGCAACCCCGTCGGGTCTTGGTACCTTTATAAAGGCGTCGATATCACCAACCGCTGGTATGAATTCCATTATGTAGGGAGCTAGCTTGTAATTTAGCTCAATTTTTTGGGGTGTGTATCTAAAACAAAGAATTCATTAATTAATAATTAAATATTTTTTTTTTAATAATTTTTAGGTAAAAATGTGATGAAAATAATAATAAATTTACCTCATAATATTTTGAAATAATTCTTTGACTTCAGCAGAAGCTTCAAGGTTTTCAAATTCCTTTGGATTGTAAAGTTCTATCGGTTTTTTGACATTAGTACCTTCAATATCATCATCATCAGTTTCATCACTGTCTGACGGGTCACTTTCCATGGGTCTTACAGGTTTTTCAAACGAAGTTTCATGGTTAGAAAACCTAAACACACATCAACATTTATAAATACCTACTCCAAAATTATTATTTAAATTAAAACTCACCTTCTGAAACTCCGTTTGTCATTCGACGATTGAATTTCCATTTCGTCAGTCTCAAAAGAGTTGGAAACACCTTTAGAGTTTTTCCTCACTAGTTTTGCTTTCCCACTAACAGGACTTTTTATTTCCTCGGCGTTTCTCACTTCAATACTTTCGTCAAACTTGCTGAACGCCGAAAAGTGTTTCTTGTCTTCTTCTTCCTCTTCGCTGATGCTACTGTCCATCCTATACTGGACACAATTCACGAAGCAATAAGAGTCCTTCAGTTAAAAACTCGCTAATGCCTTCACCTCAATTCACAAAGCTAGTAATTGTAGCTTTAGCACATATTATTTTATTATTTTGAATAAATAACAATAACGACGGGAGTTTTAATGTTGGGCTTGGGTTGTCATGGCAACCAAATCGATTTTATTCGGCGTCAACATCCTGCCGTAACCGGCATTATTTAAATTCGTAAAACAGAGATAAAGTCTATTTGACGTAATGAAATTTTAATTGTCTAAAAATATTATTGTAGAATAAAATAAATTATCGGGTTATACGTAGATTTATACGACCCAGCGGATATATGTATGTATATAAGGTACTCTCAGTTCTCAGTTTATAGAATTTAAATGAAATTTAAATGGAGAATATTCGTTTGGTTATTCTGGAAATTGAGATCTCTCACGTTTGCATGAATATTTAAATACGTCTGACGTCGACGTGTGATAATATAATCATAATGATAACCCAGCAAGGGATAGATCGGTAGATATAATAGTTGGATAGATGGCTGGATATATTATATTATATGTATGTATGTATGTATGTATGTATGTCCTATTTTATATATGGACATGAACGATCGGTAGATATTATTCGGTGTATGAATTTCAAACTCGTTAATTATTTACTCTGACCGACAGCATTTCCAATTTGACTTCATAATTTCACTCAACTCCAATCTCATTTTTTTAAGTTACTTTATTATTCATCATCATATTCTTCTATATCTTTAAATTTTAATAAATTAATTAAATAAGATCTTTAATACCACTTCACTCAATTAAATTGTTAAAATTGAGAATTCTATAAAAAATTAATTTATTAATATTTGAAATTAATTAATTATTTATCATACTTTTCCATATCTTCAGATTTAAGTTAGTTGATTAAATTAGATCTTTAAAATCACTTCACTTATGAAATTAAAAGTTTATTATTGATTGGTAAAACTTGAAGTTAAAATGTAGAAAAATTCTAAAAAAAAAAAACTAAAACTTATATGAGTATTATTTAATAGAAGTAAAAACTTCAAGATGTAATAACATTAAACTCAACGAGACATTGATGAGCATAAAGAAAAATGTTATTGCAACGGAGCCAAGTATGAAATTCAATCTTAAAAGTGCTCAGCGTAGAGATTACAATCAAGAATTCTCCGCGTTATCAATCGACAATGAAATTACCAGGGAATCCGATTTGTTCGAGTACTCGAGATTGATCGACGCAAATTTAATAACAAACTTCTCGGCTTCGGGTATTTTAACTGTATATCCTATAATATTTTTAAAATAATTCCACAGACAAACCCAATGTAAATTCAACTTTTTATTATTAACTTTTAAAATTTTATAAAAAATAAATATGTATCAAAAATACATAAATTATATAAAAAAGAAGTTGTAAATTGTACACAAGTAGAAAAATATTTTTTTAAAAAATATTGTACCCATTAAATAACAACAATAAATAATAATAATAATAATAACAATAATGAGTTGAATAATAAATAATAAATTAGTACGCAAATGCATTAATTAAAGTCTTTGATAGCCTCGAGGCTACTTCATGATGCGATTCATTATTCACGCGAAGAATAATTGACAAATCGGGAGCATGAACTCCAGTATCTTATCTAATTTTTATCTTTAACTCCTCTTACGTTGCATTTACGTACTAATAAATTATTTAAATTACCATTATCATTATTTGTAAGTGTCATTGAATTATAAATTATCATTTAGCGGATGTACCAAGAGGTCATTGATATACCAATTTTCGCTAAAAAAACATTCAAAATTTCTCTTCATTGTAACAATCAATTTTGATTCTTTTGCCAAACTAAATCGGATATTTTCCGTAAATCTGACCGCTCCTCGTCCTACGAACGATCCAGCTGTTGAACCCGTCGGGGTTTATACTCCTGATGTCTGGATGAACTACAACCGGCTGCGAGTGCTGCGACTGGGTCGTTTTTATGCTAATTACCGATCTGGAAGACTCGTTGTCGGTAGAAATGCAGTAAGGCCTCGATTTTCTCAATATTTGGTGCTTTCTTCGAGGAATTATTTTCTCTGGGCCCGTTGATGCGTCACCCCGGGGGTGGTTTAGCGTCAGGAGTTCAAAGACCGAGTCCCGATCGTTTTCTTCTTCCGTCAGGTCAACTACCGGTCTAAATTATCAATTAGAGTCCAGTTTTAATATTTATTGGCTTATGAATTAATAATAATTAGGAGTTATATTTAGGACGTACGGATTTTCGGATTGAGGATCAATTGCAGGAGCACAGTGATCATTTTCCAAGGCGCATTGCGTTGAAAAGTACAGAAATGTTGCAAAGAGGGCGAAAATAATAAAGAAAGCTGCTAAGTCGGCGAACAGTTGCTTGGACAATGTTAAATACCTAATTTTTTCTTCCCTTACTTCGAAATTATTCAAATCCACGATCAAGGGTATGAATTCGTTTACAATAAAGTCCTGAAAAATAGTATTTATTATTTATAATAGATCTGAAATTAGCAATGAGAAACAAAAACTAGATTGGATTGAAATGACGTACTTTTATATAAATAAATATGCGCCGAAAAATAACTTGAAGGACGTTAAATAATTGTCTGACTGGTTCCATGCTAAATAATTGTCTGGCGGACACTAAAATCTCAAGCAGACGCGGTAAAGTTTTCATATCACAAAAACTACCAATTTATTTAGTTTATTTAGATTTTATAATTTAATTATAACCATTGTCTGTCTAAAAATGACGAGCCACTCGTGAACTGCTGGTTAATTTTTACAGAAATAATGCTCACTTCAATTTTGTTAAACTCACTGCTATTTTAAACATCGATTGTCATGTGTTATCACAATCGTTCCAATTTATTTTTTATTAACGTAAGACAATTATACAATTATACAATTGTACTGACGTGACGCAACCACGCACCTCAGATTGCGAACTTACTTCAATTTTATAATGACATTCAGACAATAAGCGATAAATGGATTTATTAATCACTTGTAATTGTATTATGTCGATGGTATGAAATTTTTTCGACATCTATTGGACTCTGACGAGCTCAGAAAGAGTAAATAAAATTAAATAGTAAATTAATAAGACAAATTTAGATATTTTATTAATTTTTTAAATAAGTACAAGGCTGAGCTTCCCACTCGCTGTGGCGAATTCCGAATGAAAATGCCGGAGGTTGTTTTCCTGGGTTGTAAGTCGGATTGTACATTGGTCCAGGTCCACTGCTGTAGCTACTGAGTGGTTGTTGCCGAAATTTTAGCGAAAAAGCTGGGTATTGTTTCTTTACAACGTTATAATTTGGGTTCCCGTAATCAGATGGTCCAGGTCCGACGTATTTGCTTGAATCTGAAGTTCTTCCTTTGCTAAAATTAATTCCAAATTATTTTTCAACCTCCAATTCGCTCAAAATTAAAAAATAATTATTAAATACATAGAAACGGCTCCACAAGTTTTTTTATGAGGAATTTTAGGCCCCAGGGAAGAAGGAACGACGTAGGAATTGGGCCCGGGTCCATCAAGTGATAAATGGTCGGGCTTGAGTCTTGATTGAATGGAAAATGATGGAGATGTCCGAGAATGGTTGACAGGCGGACACGTTTCTGGGTGATACGCTCCAGGACCGGGTCCAGATCCAATCACTGATGATTTAATTTATTATTAAACGACTTATTGATTATATTTTTTAAATTTAACGTACCAACAAACGGAGCTCGGCCAGCAATTGAAAACGCTGGGGGTTTTTCTATTCCTTGTCGCGTCAAGTGATAAGTATTGTATCTATTTGGACCTGGACTCGCAGTGACGTACAATTTTTCATCATGTCGAGATGTGATGGAGTACGCAGGGTTCCTTTTGCGAGACAAGTCGTGTTTTTCAAAGCCCAGCACTGGAGGAAGGCTGTAAGCTGGTCCAGGACCTAATTTACATCAATTAAAAAAATAATTTTATCTTAATTAATATTTAACCAAAAATTATCTAACAAAAATAAATACTTACCTCGGGATTTGCAGCTCAGCATCGGTTTTTCAATTACTCTGGTCGTCATCATGAATTTAGAAAATCAATACTTAAATTTACACTAAATAAAATTCAATTAAATAACAAGCAATTATAAATGAAGTGAGTAGTTTCTAAAATTAAAAGCTAAGTTCACTTAATTAAAAAAAAACAAATTACAATTTTTATATATAATATATTTTCTTCCGCTTAAAAAAATTTATACAATTATTTTTTTTTATCATCATCATCATCATCATCGTCATCATCATCATCTTCATCTTCACTGCTCCCATCATTATTAGTATCATTATCACTGTCACTAGAACTGGAGCTAGATGTCGCATGCTCGTCGGAATCCCAATCTGAGTCATCGAAGCTCTTCTTCTTCGTAACCATCAGCGATTTTAATTTATTAACTAAATCATCTCGAGTCAGCGGCGATTCTTCAGCAGTGAGCGTTTCTGTGTCTGAATTCGAGTCGTCGTCATACTCTTCTTCTTCTGGATCATCCTTGGAATCGCTCGGTTGAGTCGCATCTTTTTTGATACCTGGAAAATTAAATAAATTACCAAATTACTCTAATTATTTATGATACAGAGATCAGCTGACATGAAATGACCTTGTATCTCGTGAACTATTGACATTTTTAAAGATATAAGCTCATCCCGATGTTCCATTCATCACGACCTTTTATTCAAGTACCCACATCATTTTTTCATATATTTATATATATTATATATGTATATATGA